CCAAATTGGCTTCAAAACTTGCAAATCTAGCAAATCTTGACACTTCACACAGCTGATCAGTTCTGCAAAGGCAAGTTATTGTGAGAATCTTCCTAATAAGGGATAAGACATTGGTATTACTTTTTACATATTAATTGCCTGAGAAATATTTGCAGAGTTTATATATGTTATATGATTGGATCCCATAAATTTCGAGAATCTGCCAACAGAAAAAATGTGCAAGATTTTTTCAAATAGCAAACATTATCGTTACGCGAGTGCCTCAATTTTTTTTAATGCTTTTGGAAAATATTTGGAACCGAAATAAAAGCACTTATCTAGCCCGCTAGTTATTTAAGTAGCTATTTGCTGTCAGCTTCACAGCAACAACAAGGCAGCTGATGTCCTGTGCTCTCCACTCATTCTATTTGTGGCGTTTTTTGTCCTAATGGTTGTCGAGTTGGTTTTCGAGATGGTCCCGAGTTGTTACCTGGTCGCGTCCGTTCAAGCATTGCTCTATTGGTTTTCCCCTTCGATGCGTGCTAAAAGTGTTTTTCTTTTTGGCAGTGTGGGTGCGGGCGGGTCATGCGCGAAACCTGCAGAAACCTGAGTAAACAGCAGCAGCAGCAGCAGGAGCAGCAGCAGGAGTAGCAGCAACAGCAACAGGGCCAATAAAAACAACAACAACCACAACACCAAGAACAACAATGACAGGCACTTAAAAACTGGCGCTTTGAACTCGACGGTGTTGGCCGTTGTGTGTGTTTTTGTTGCCAATGTTATTGCTATGCTGGCAGGCACCACTTTTGTCTGAGGTTGTTTTTAAAGGTGGTGCGGTGGGGTTGTGAATGTGGATTTATTTTAGCTTTCGATATAGTTTCAAGGTTATGCTCAGCGAGCGTGCATCCCCTCAACTGCCTTTGAAGTGGTCAACCGGAAGCCGGCGACTTGCCAATCTATTTAAAATTGAATTTACATTTGAATGAAATACAAAAGCGCACAACGCAGTCAACCACAGCAAAAGCTAAAATATGTTTGATACATTATGTGGCTGGCCAATAAGTGTCATTATAATAATTGCATTCGCCTTCTAAGACTATCTCGAGAATACAAGAATATAGAATACTCCTTATCGAGTACCCAGCACGAAAATAACCGAATATATTTCAAAAAGGCCGGTTGGATCCGTCGTGGTATATATATTCTTGATCAGCATAAAACAACCGAGTCTATATAGCCATGTCCGTCTGTCCGTCTGCCTGTTTCTATGCAAACTAGTCTCTCAGTATTAAAGCTATCGTCATGAAACTTTACATAAGTTCCTCTTTCTGTTGCACGCAGTACATATGTTCTTGTATGAAAAACTTTTTTGTTTATCAAGATATCTTGACCAAATTTTTTATTAGATTATTTTATTATTTATTTATTAGTTTTACTATGCTCCTTATATATATGCAGAGTGCTATCAACATCGAACACCTACATATATCTTATAGCTGTTCTATGGAAAACTTTTTTGTTTTTCAAGATATCTTGAGCAAAGTCGGCATTTATAAGTTTCACTATGCTCCCTACATTTATGCAAAATGTTTACATTGGATACCCTTATCATATAGCTGCCATAGGAACGATCGGTCAAAAATGAGGCTCTTGAATGAAAAGCTTTTGTTTTTTCAAGATATCTTAACCGTTCTCGGCATTAACTGTTTTCCCTGCGCTTCTCAGATACGGGCCAGGCATTATGAGCACTATAAAAAGGTTGGGTCTGCAAGGGTATTGAATCTTCGTCGTGCCTTCTTTCTGGTTTGAACTTTTTGTCTGATATTCTTATGTAACAAATTTATTTCGAGTCTCAATCCATTCACAATTTCAAGAATATCTCAGCAATTGTTCAATTTAAAGTTAATTAAGTTATACCGCTTTTTAGCAGGCGTATTCACTGTCGCAGCCGCTGTGAGACAAATTATGGACTTCTGAATTGCCGTTCATGAAGAAGATTACAACTGCAGCTGGCTTCTGGCTGCTAGCTGCTGGCTTTCCAGGCTTTTGGTCAGCAGCTGCTGCCCCGAAAATTTAAGGGCCGCCAGGAAAATGCTGCAACTAGTGTAAAATATTTGCAATTTAATTAAACGAAATTAAACAATCTTGCCAGCATTTGTGCAAACATGTGTGGCAATTGTGCTTGTAATCTAAATTTGTAAGTTTGCCATCTAAGAAAAAGAAGAAGAAGATGAAGTTTCTGCAGCTACCTTTAGGACTCTTGCTGCTTGGTCGCAGCTCCGACCAGATGCAAGTTTTTGGATTCGTTGCTGTTGCTGTTACTGCAGCTTTTGTGGCAAGTTTCTGTGAATGCGTCTGCCTGGCGGCAGCAGCACAAAAGACCACAGTAACAGTTGCATGTCCTGTAAAATTCAAACAAAACTGGGAAGGAAGCAATAAATGCAAAGTAAAGTTTTGTTTCTAATGACGTTGATAAAGGCACAGAAAAATAGCCAAATGAGAAGACAAGATATCAAAATAAATTAAACTATAAATCGATATTCCATATAGATACGTTTGCATATGTATACAGATACGTTGTATAGGTATGTATTTATATTTGCATTTAATATTCGCATTGTTGCAATACTCGCAAAAACTTTTTTAATGAATTTATTTTCTTGGTGCTATTAAAACAAGCAACATTTTCTTGTTTCGCTTTTCCTTTCCTCCATTGAATTTACGGCGTACACCAAATGGCACAGCAGTAGAAGAAGAATAAGAAACATAAACATGCAACTAAATGGGCGCTCAGCCAGCAAACAAACTGAAAATTTACAACAAAAGTTAAATCCAGTGCGTTGGCTGCAGAGCTGCGTCGCCAGGTGTGGCTATAATTGAAATGAACGCGCTTTTTGGCCAAAGCAGGCAGTTGCAGGTGGAGCGACAACTCATGCATCAGGTCGACCCAATTGAATTACAATGAACTACAACAAATAATCGAGCGATAGCAGCCAAGCATTTCATAATCAATTAGAGCTAATTAGGCAATTTTCTAATGGCCAGCAAATCAGCAAGCAATTTGCTAACGACCATCGACCCACAAGGCACGCAACAATGAAATTCAATTTTAATGCCTTATTACATAATTTGATCCTTATCTTGGCAGACGACGCTCTATGCATATTAATTATCATTCAAGACTGAATCAGAAACTGCAACAGCAGCAGGAACTGGAAAGGCGCCAACCCTCGGGAATCTGAATTGAGATTGATTTATGTTAATGCACTTGATGAATAACCATTAGAGGCACATAGCTAAAAAAATCTTTAAGAAATACTCTATAACATTTTTACATATACTACAATATACCATATACTTACATACATACTTATATGTGCATATTTACATATCTATTAAAGTTTGTCCTGAGGTTCTGTTTGGGGATCTGCAAACAGTCCAAGCAACTACGAAGCTGAAATGATTACAGAACCTCCTGTTGAGTCAAAAGTGAGCACCAAGACGGGGTTTTGGAAAGTTCAACCTATAAGTGAATGAAAACGTTGTCAATGTTCATGGTGAAAACATAAACAAAGACGCAACCAAGTCTGCTATAAAAACATAGCGTCTTGCACCTGTAGGTCTCAGGTCTTTGCGTTGAAATGTCAAGCGACAGGTCGCTAGATCAAATTCAGGGGAATATTCAATTTTTAGCTTTCTTTTTATTCGGCCCCATTCGATTTTTCATCATTATTAATTTGTCGTGGGCGGCATCGTACAATTTCTTCTGATACAATAAATACTAATTATTCATCATGCCTGCTACTGAAGAATAATTCAAAAGATTAATCCCTTATCTCATGTTAAATCATTTTCAATTGTCGATAATTTTGTACAATAACAACATACTCAGTATGTTCATATTTATATTAATTTATATGCTGCGGCCCACCGCAGATTCAAATTGCGAATTCAGAGAGTACAATATTTATATAAATTGGAATACCTGTCGGTGGCTTTCTGTTTACAAACTGATAATTTGACACGCAAATAATATTAAAGTGTCACATTCACGTGTTGTCGTTCAATTAATTTATAATAAATAAATAAGCAAAAGTTGCGATGGCAAATATGAAGCTTTCATAATTTCGCATGTCACTTTTTGTTAAAATCATTTACTCACACATACGCGCGTGTAAGAATATATCCTGACATCACACATTTAATTAATTTAATATGCATTTTTTTTAATAGCATTAATAACGTTAATTTTCTGATTGGGCCACTTTTCATTTCCACACTATAATTGATGAAGCAAAAAAAAAACTTGTGATAGATCTATTTTCAGGGTACGTTGTAAAGGGCTAACGGGTAATATACATATCCTGTAAAAATGTATTTAAGGTTTGAAGAATAACTGAAAAGGTGGGCAAAACAATATTTGCTAATTATAATTGAGAAAATATATATTAGGTTACACTTTTCTTTGTAATGAAGACGTTTTTTCTTCTCTGAGAAATGCCTGGAATAACGTCTGCGACAAAGCGTATGGAATGCCAAAACATCCTAAATTTTAGAAAAAACCTTTTATCGATGTCACAGTAATCATATTTCTAAAAACTAACACTGTAAGCCAATTTTTTCTTTTTAGTATTAAGAATAATATTTCTGATAATAAGAATTGGTCAACAGTTTATATGGTAACTGATTAATGATATTTCAATTTAATGCTGAATTAAGTTGTGCGCCATTTGAAATTTTAATTAAAATTTGAACGCTATAACTTTAAAGATATCATTCATATATATATACAATTAAATTCGATATATGCACATCACTCGAAATGCATTCAGTTGCTTATCCATTTCGACTAATTCAACTAATTGCCGGGATATAAGGATATAGAAGTCGATTTGCAAAAGAAGGCAGGCTATGCCAGGGACAACTAATATGCTGTCAGTTGACTGTTTCAACCTGCTGCCTGCCCCATGCAGGCAGAGGACAGGCCACATCATCTGCCTATGTCATGCCCAGGGCACACAGCGAAACATTTTGTCATCTTCGTGTAAACGTCAAATGCCAAGCGAAGTCGCATGCCAAACAAAGCAAATCGTGTGTATGTGTGTGTGTGGCTGTATGTGCGTGTGTCGTACCCCGTGTCAAGCAATTTACAAGTCAAAGGCACGGCAAGGCAAGTTTCTGACAGGACAAACAGCAGGATACCTCGAATGCCAGTAAAGCTGGGCGGATATCGTTGGCGTTGGTGGCAAGTAAAAGGTGGCGCTGCGTGCCTGCATCGTCTTCATTCCTTTCAATTTCAATTCCAAGATTTCATCACTGTTGGCTTAATTAATACCATAGATGTTTAGATGTTGAGCAGCAGCATGTCAGCACACTTGAATTTGACATAAGAAAAAGTTGTTGAGTATTCGAGTTAAGCTAGTTTTATCGTTCGCAGAATCAAAGCAGCTACAATTAGCTGCCACACAGCTACTATATTATGAGTCTTAAAGATATTTGCTTAAAGCTCTAATAAAATATTCGGCACGTTGCGTCAGCCAATGACGATTTATTTCACGCCTATTGAGCGCTTCCCGTAGATGCTCCTCGAATTTGTTGAGGCCCTTCAATTGTTGCCTTAACTGATGCTCTTCAAGTTGGGTGTACGAATTGCCAATTATTGTTAAGAGCAACATTTTAATTTCCCTGCTGCTGAATTTGTTACTGCAATAAAGAGTTAAAAAGTGAACTAGTTCCTTATTAAGCTGATTAATCACCTACTTGAGTATTTTGGCATGCTTCAGAATGTGGTCTGCGGTCTCCGGTGCCACATGTTGACGGCTCAATGCTGAAGTTACGGCTTGTATATAATAACTATATGTGGTTTTATCCGTTGCCAGAAGTAAATAGTCCAAAAACGATTGCAACTGGCCGAAATCAGGACTGCAGCCAAGTTCTGTTGCCCAGGCGCCCTTTATGGCATCAGCAGTCGAGTTTTGAAAGCGTTCCCTCAGAAAATGAAACAGCATTTCGTTGCCCTGTTCAATGCTCGTACAATACATAATATCTCTATAATTAACAGGCACCTCCGTGCCGTACTCAGTTCCTTGTGTATATCGCACGGCCTGACTGACGCAGTCGTCCACGCCGTAGCGGCAGGCCTGATGATAAGCCAAACGATATAGAGCAATAGATGGACTCCACTTGGTTCTTATCTCCACTGAGTTTATTTGGGGACAGCGTCCATAAAGTGGTGCAACAAGCTTTCTCATGAAGAGCTGCAAGGGAAAGGCTAGTAAAAAGCAAATCTCACATCTTTGAATTAGAGCCCTGCTTTGGTTAATTAATTTCCATCAAACGATTTAACCGTAAGTCGACGATTATCTTCGAATATTCAAAACGCGTTTCAGTTGATCCGATGCAGGACTCTAAGTTGGATTCCTCAAATAGCTCACCCTAAATTTGATCGCCTGCTCGTCGCGCAGCAGTGCACCAAGCTTGTTAAGCACCTCAAAGGCTGTGTTCCAGGGCAAAAGTTCGCGCTCCCGCGGCAGATACTCCAGCATTTTTAATGCCAGCTCATAGCTCTGACGCTTTGTCAACGCAAGTGCCAAAAGGTCATCCACCAACTGTGCTCGATTGAGCACATGAATATCGCCAAAGTGATTGTCGGAATTTAGGGTGTCGATGATCAGGCGCCAATTGCGCTCATCATAGTTGACACGATAGATGGTGTTCACTTGTGGATTCAGCATGAGCCATTCGTCAGGGGCTGGCTTATTGGTTAGCTGTACGGTTTTCTCAGCACCGGGACATTCCAGCCAAAACTGTGGGTGTGTTTGCTCAAAAGCTCCTTGCTGTTGGTTCACAAACGTGAGCGGTATCCACCAGCAGCTCTCGTCTTTTTTATCGTCGTCAGGAGTTGCCAGCATAAATCGAGTTTGATTAACCCATACAAAACCTGCTGTATAGTTCCTTATCACGCTCACAAGCGGATAACCCCTTTGCAGTGTCCAGGAGTCCATGACAGTGGACAGAGGTATGTCAGCAGCCGGGGTACCTTTTGCAACCGCAGCCTCCTGCATCGCCTGCCAGAGATCAGACTGGGCAACACTGTCATAAGCATGCCGATCCACATAGTTGCGTATGCCTGTAAAAAAGATATCGTTGCCTAGCAACATGTGCAGCATGCGTATCGTCAGGGATCCCTTTTTGTACACATACGGACTAAATTGTTCCAAAATGCTTTTCGAATCGTTCACATTGCGTGAAATTGCAATTGTATCGTTAAACATATCCTGATAAAAGAATAGGGCCAAATCATTTGCAATGCTGCGCTCAAAACTGCCCCATTCAGGCATCAGAGCATTCAGAGTCAAGTAGCCGAAGTATGTGGAAGGTCCCTCCTTAAGCCAAAGATCGTTCCACCATTTAATGGCTACCAAATTACCGAACCATTGATGTGCATATTCATGTGCCACGGTGCTTGCCTTATTCTCTTTTGTCTGCTGCATTTCCACCTCATCGTTGTGAACAAAATGACTCTGCTTAAACGTGACCAGACCCCAGTTCTCCATGGCACTAAATTTGTGAGTTGGCAGCGCCAGCTGATCAACCTTATGCAATGGAAACGTATACTCCAGAAGTCTCTCCAAATAACTCAAGGCTTTTGGTGCGAATTCCACACCGAAGCTGCTTCCCTCAACGACCGTCGGTTGCATCCAGCTGCGAAAGGTGACTTTATGCACAGTGTCACTTGGCCGGGCCGGTACGCTAGTTAAATTGTGCACGGCATAGGCCACCAGATAGGTGGACGTACTCAAAAGAGGTTCATGCTCGCACCAGACATAGTCCTGAAGCGTGTCACTAGAAAAATAAGTTGTTTACGTGAACATTCATCTTTTGGAAGCAACTAATAACAAAATCTTACTGTACTATACATTTGCTCACTGGTGTATTGCTTAGTCCTGTGTAATTTTTATGATAGCCCAGTGTAACCCTGAACGTTGCCCTTAAATGCGGCTCATCAAAGCACGGAAACGCAATCCGGGCATAAGTCGGTGAAAATTGTGTCGCTGCCAAATAACTGTAAGCAAAAATCAAAACATTTGACGCCAGTCATTTGTTTATATAGCTGCAAACTCACTGTGTTTGTTCGGTCACTGAATCATTAAAGGAGCTCCAGTAGTAGCCCGTATCATTTGCATTCAACTTACTCTTGAAGGGCATGATCAGCTGGTAGTGCTCAGTGAGCTGTAGTTTCTCAGCGAGATGCATTATGTAAAATTCACACTTTTCATTTACCTCAATGTTAGTAATGCTGTAATTGCTGCCGTTTTGCGATGTCAAACTAATGTGTGCCTCATCAATGGTCAAATTCTTGGCATGCAGCGTAATATTCCTTGTCTCTTTCTGTATTTGAAAATCGATTTTTACACGACCCTCGAACCGCAGCTCGTCAGGCCCAGTCAAATGGGTCAGTATGCGGAGATCATAGTGTTGGGGCTTGAGAACCGTGGGTAAACGATAGGCATTATAGCTAGATAGTACTCCAGTCGCTAGCAAGAGGCTTAGCAAGTAGTATGTCAACCCTCGCATGCTGTGTTAAAGGGAAAAAAAGAGCCTCTAAGTCTGTAACTTTAGAATGGGAGAAATACCTTAGCAGTCGTCTCAGAGATTAAAGATGTGTTTGGATTAAATCCTTCTTGAAGATCCTCAGCAATTCTCACGTCACATTTTGTAATCCTAACTTTAAAATCTCCTAGAGATCTAGAGATCTAGATCAGAAAAGAGATCATCGCTAATCTGCCTACTAAGCCTAAGCTTTTCGTTTCTAATTACAAAAGCGATTTGGCCACATACGGACAAATGGATGGACAAACCAAAATGTATCTATTTTTATTGCACTTATCGGGCTTAATTTAAGGCTAATCATTTTTATTTCAAGATGCAACCAAGGATCAGTTAAGTTTTAGTGATCATTTTTAGAAGACGTCTCCGACCCCATAAAGTACATATATTCTTGATCAGTATCAACAGCCGAGTCGATATAGCCTTGTCCGTCCGTCCGTCTGTCTGTTTCTATGCGAACTAGTCTCTCAGTTTTAAAACTATCGTCATGAAACTTTGCAGAAGTCCCTCTTTCTGTTGCACGCAGTACATATGTCGGAACCGTTTGGATCAGATCACTTTATCACCTAGTTGACATAGGAACGATCGGTCGAAAATGAGGTTCTTGAATGAAAAGCTTTTTGTTTTTCTCGGCATATTTTCCCTGTGCTTCTTACGGGCAAAGCATTATGAGCACAACGAAATGGTTGGGTCTGCAAGGGTATTAAATATTCGGCTTGCCGAAGATAGCCCTTCTTTCTCGTTGTTCGTTTTTGAAGACATTATTAATACTCTTCGTTCTTACGAGCTCGATTAAAAACATAACAGAAAAAACTGAATACAAGGTTATTCATACTTAAAGAGTCATATTTGAAATACTAGATTCAAGTATTACCGGTGTTAGGGTGTTTTTATGACTGGTACTACACGATAAAAGGACGAAGTCCTTTATTTTGTCCCGTCTGTGCGGATAAACATGGTTTAACAAGGTTACATTGAGAGATATGAGTCAAATTTTTGTTTGTTTTCAGTCAGATTTCGGCCTTTTTAATTATTGAACATTTATTGTGAAAATAAAATGTTTAAAGCAGTGCGCTCCCTTTCGGCGCATCATTTCTTTCCAAATCGAACAAAATGTTGCTTTTATATTAAATATTCGGTACGCTCACTGCCCCAAAATCGAGAATTAAGTTACCTGGGTCAGCGTCAACAAGGTTGGAAGCTGGCGCTGATGCATTGGCTTAGCGGTCTGCGTTCCCGCTATTGCATGTGGAAACTGCGTCGTCTGCTCGGCGATGAGTTTGATGAGTTTGACTTTTTGGTGGGCGCTCGACAGGCGGCCACCTTGATGATCGAGGCGGTGCATCAGGCGAACTGGAGCCACATACGCAGCTGTTGCACAGATCAGGGCGCCTGTGCCATTTACGGACTTACACACAGCCAACGGAAGATGCAATATACGAAACTGGTGCGGTTTGAGAGCCAGCATCTGTGCCAGGTGGCGCCAATTTCCGTGCAGCGACAACGCGAAGACGGACACAACTATGTCTATGCGGACATTGTTTTCATCGGATTGCGTGATATGCGTGACTTTGCCACCTTTGGTGAGCAGCAGCAGATGTTGCAGCAGATTAAAGAGGTGCTGCAGCAATCACAGATACCAGAGCAAATTGCACCAACACATCGACGCATTGTGTTGGGTGAATTTCTGTTGACGCTGCGCAAGGAGCTAACCAAATCTGAAGCAGATTCACAGGGCTGGTTGGTCGATTTTTATAAGGTGTATGGATTTAAGCTCGTCAACTACAGTCCCGTAACGTTGCAGTATCGTGTTATTGAGTTTCTAAAACCAGTTTAAGCAAAGCCAAAATTTGACTTCCAAAAATGCTCACCTGCAGCAGCTATCAATCTGTTCGCTCAGTTTATCAATTATTCAAACTCGCTACGTGCTCGCTTAACGATCGTGTCAAGCATCCAAATTAACTATATCTCTCGGCTTCATCCGATAACACACGCGTCCGTTCAGCTGTGTACACCGATGTTAACTGAATGCAACATACCACAAACAGCTCTATTTATAATTCTTGAACCTTCCTCCCAATAAGCGTATATATATAACAGTCGTCGCAACCAGATCTTTATCTAAATATTGACTATAAAAATAGAAGGTTCTTGTAATTGTATATATTATACTAAATTTATAGTTTGACTTTTATCGTTTCTTATCTCTTATCAATTTCAATATTTACTGTCGATTAAAAGGGGAGTCTTTTAAGGTAATTTCCATAATATACAGAGGCTTAAATATTTATTTTTTTTATAATTTTTAAGATGATTAAATTAAAATGACACGCAAATATAAAATGTGTAAGCATTTTCTAATTGAATCTGCTTATGGGGCACATATTCTTCCAATAACTTCATTTAGGGCGAACGTAATTTAATCAAGTTAATTGATCAAAATGTAGATTAACACGGTCATGATAGAGACACACAAAAAGTTCTTAGTTCGAGAAGAGTTTTAAACAACAAATAAAGGTCATCTTCTTTGCAAGTAAATTGTATATATGTGTGATTAAACCTATTTAGTAGTCATGGCGTTCTCTCAGCCCTTCAATGACGCCCTTAGTTGAGCATTAAATTCCATTTAAACCTTTCGGCATACGCTTCACAGTTTCATTTGGCCATCAGGACCTGCATTAACCGTTGCATTACTCTGGCCTTTGCACGCACGTTATTTTGCCATTCTGCAATCTGGGCAATGCTTTGGGCTCTGGTGAAAAATAAACTATTCTCACACTGCTCGCATGAAATCACGCCGTGTCGCTTTCGAAAGGCACATAAAAAATGGAGGGCTTAATTAAAAGGCAAAAATGTGCTGCGATTTTCCGCTTTTTTAACGCCAAGTGCAACAACTCCTTTCCCTTCACCCCATCACCATAGCCAGGGCCAGAAAACGGACGCGAGACAGGGAGAAATGGACAACATTTGCAAAAAGAAAACACTACTTAGTGGCGACTTTTTATTTGCTCTTGTTCCTTGGCAGCAGACAGCAGCCATTTCAAATGTACCACGTCTCTGGCTCATATGTCTTCTTTCGACGAAGGTTTTTCATTTTGTGCCGTTTTCTTTTTTGGTAATGAAACATTTTTTTTAATTAAAGCAACGCGAGAAATGAAAAACTCTGAAGAGCTCATTAAAACTGATAGTCACTGTTTCAAAAATCATGATATTTGCGCTGGTAAATGCCTCTGTTGATATATAGGAGGGCTTTGCAAACGTGACGTCATGAGCTTGCGGGCTTCGGTTTCTAAGCGTCGGACTAACAAGCGAGAAGTTGGTGATCCAAGTCCAGCTTGCTTGCTTTGGATTGCTTATTTTGTGTTTGGTTATTGGGAGTAAAGTATAATATTCAAAAATATTTTATTGTTCTAGAATATATATGAATAGATAAATATAGAAAAATACACTGAAGGTTACATCTACGGCCGCAGTTACTGTGACTTATTTCTAAATTGTTCCCTTATTTTGTAGCCTTGCCCACATTACAATTAAATTCAACTGCAGTATGGCAATGCACAATACTGCCCACACTTTACGGGTAACTGCTATTCATCAGTTTGCACACTAATATATATATGTATGTGCCTTTATGGTGCCGCGTTGGAAATATAGAACTAGCCGAATGGCGGGGATCCATCACAATTTACAGTGCAAACGGACCAAAGTTGGCAATAAAATTTAATTTATATCCTGTGAAAACGCTGCTGCTGGTTGTTGGGTTAACCCCTGGACAAGGCAAACGCGTTCAAGTGTTTGCAAAACATTTAATTCCATTTTCGATTGCTGTGGAATGCAAGCCGCTAAAGGGAGGAGGAGATGAGGTGAGCATGGGATACGCCACATGGGCCACACGCTGGCAATAGCCAGGGGGCTGGCTTAAGGGCATGGGCAAGAATGCAATTACAGATTCCCGACAAATTTGAAATTTGAATTGGCAAAACTACCTGACAGAACAGATGGACAGACAGCCAGACAGCCAGACAGACGCATATTTAAACTGGCAGCAGCACTAGACGCTAGCCTAGTGTCATTTGTAAGCGTTGTCCAGCATCCACTCGAACAGCATTTGTTTGGGTTACGAAGCGGGGGAATCCCCGTAGCTACAGCTGCAACTGCTGCTGCTCCTAGTGGCTGGGCGAATCAGGGCAATTGAAGTGCCTTAAAGTGCTCCATGGCTGGCACATAAATAAATGTTTGCACATTTACTTTACCTTCTCTACTCTGTACTGTGTGCTAGCCACTGGTGTTGGGTTTGTTGCCTCTGGCTTTGATTCGTTGCGCTTCCTGTTCCCAGCACGTTCATAACTCAACTCTGGCCGGGCATTGCGGGATGTGGTGGGTGGTTGAGTCTCCATGTTGCCGGGCCCTTTATTTGCTTGTAATTTGAAGCTGACTGTGCTGCAATCTCGATACAAATCCTCAACAGCTCAAAAGGCAGCTTGAACTGCACTGCAATGCAGTTAAAGGGCTCGGAATTCCCCCAGAGTATCATTGCCATAACTTTGTATATTGTAATGGCAATGCGATTGAGCGAATCTGCCACAAGAATACTAACATATATCCCATGGATTTGCCGAGACGCCCACACCAGCAAATGGTAGCCAACTGCTGCCAGTCACTAATTTTCCAATCAAGTACTGCAACAACTCTGCAGTTCAGCCATCGGTTGATGACGATTAGCGCCCGAGAAGGCCAGAAGCAAAGCCAATTCGAGTCAAGCTCACGTTTCCAAAGCGCCCATTAACGGCGATTACCCATAAACGGAGTATCTGGAGATGAGTAATAAGTAACGACAAAACATCCAAAAATATAAAATAACTTATTGATAATTTATTGAGAAATTGAGATCGTTTGGTGAAATCCACACTCAATGCTTAACTATTTTCACTGTTCCAAATAGATAGTTCTTGGAAATGAGTTCTATTCCACGTTTCGCAATTTTTATTTAACTATTCTCTTTGATTTAACTATTCTCAAGCGAAGCGTTTACGCTTTTTGTTTTTAATATATTTTTTAAAAAAATTGGTAAAAATTCTCCTAATTCAAATATATATGTTTGTACATATGTATGTATGCACCTTGCTCCTAATGAAGCTTTTCATTTCACCATTGCCAATCCATTTTAGCAGCCTTTTTCCACCTTTCCGAATGCATAGATAGATGAAATATATATAAGACTTGATACAGCGATCGTTTTTACTTCAAACTGTAGAGTGCCGCCAGCACCACAAAGTTATATTTTTTGTGCTCTCTGAGTATGGAATGAGGTGGAAATTCGGCTTACATTTGCAGCTGACAATGCTTTGACTCTTTCTCCCATTTTTTGAGGGCAGTTAGCAAAATGTCACGTAGCAAATGTGACAGCGTGGTCAACATAATGAATGGTTAGCCGCCCGGAAAGGAGCAGCGAAAAGTGCAGCATGACGCAGGTGCATGTGTTTTGTCCTTTGTGTCTGTGTGTGTGTGTGTGTGTGTGTGTGAGTGAGTGAGCTTTGCACTAGCATAACACATGGACTTTGGGAGTTCATGTCTGTAGCATTGATTGCCTTGGCGGCGATTGCAATAACCCAACTTCATGTGAGAGGGCAAAAGCGCGCCCAAATGTCACGACATTACACAGCGGGGCATCGGTTCCTGGCAACGGCCCCAAAAATGTGTCCATGCACGTGACACTTTAGTGCAATTTGCAATTTGATTTTCTTCTTCCTTCACCGCCATGTCGACCGGTCGGCCGGCAACAAAGTTCCAGTTGTTGGCTGCATAAGTTCATGGATCCAATTGATTCCAACGTCGCCGGCGCTCTGCTTATGTGTGTGTGTATGTTTGTGTAGGTGGCAAGCGAAGCGAGTGTGTTGGGTGTGTGTGTGTGTAAGTGTGCTGTCAGTGTCTCCACTGCATTGGCGTCTTTACATTGTTACACTTGACCAATTCGAATTGCAATTACACACCTGAGTGTCGCCCCCTCGCTCGCTCCCCACCACGCACCTGAGCTCTTGTGTGCTGCAATTTCTGAACAACGATTTGTGTTGGCTTTTCGTTGTTTGCCAATTTTAAGTTGACTGCCATTCCTAGTCTTCAACGCTGCCCAAGAAACAAGAAGGCGTGCTTTAGTCTGCAGTGCCCGAATAGGACATACTCTAAGCCCTATATTTTTTGGGATCACAATAGCAGGTATTAACTAAATCGCAAAAATATGAAATATTTTCAATCTCTATAGATACCACATATAGGTTAATCTACATGCCAAGTTTGGTATATCTAAATCCTCTATTAATCGAGTTATGCCGTAAAATCCAGACATATATCAAATTCCATATGACAACTAGATTAAAATGTTAAAAAAAAAATTATAAAATCCTGCGCATGGTATGGAGCAAATATTTCAAATTTTACAATTCATCGTCCTGATCGAGAATATATATACTTTATGTGGCCAGAGCTGCTTTCGTCTGTCTGTTACATACATTTGCAAAAAAGGTTATACCCTATTTCACCAATTTCACTGGGTACATAAAATCGGAAAGAAGTTGTTTAGCCGGGAGCTGCAATTGCGAGTCCCTTAGTTACATATCTGTGCTCTAATAGACTAATGAAAAGTCCGTCTTGTTACTTAAGGGCATTGGATAATTACAAGTGGCTGTCATCTTTCACCGTTTACCCACTCGAATTAAACTGCGTTTCCAATAAATATGATTGCGATTTGTGTGTTTGTGATTAAAAATCGGACTCGCAATTGATTAAAATGAAGCGCTTGTAACCTGATCGGACATGGGCCATTCTCTCATCTGTCTGTCTACTAGTGGTTTATTTGCTTACATTGCCACATTTTGCTGACCTTCAATGGAGCTGACAAACACGGCTAAGTGCTTATTCTACTCCCATGTTCAATGGCTTCCTTCCTGCCTCCAACACTAGTGTGGTTGTGCTCGTCCCAAGCCATCTCGTTGCCCAATCTAAGGGATATTTCATTCAGTTAATTAACGCCATGATTATTGGCATGGCTTGACATTAACGACAGCTGATAAAACAGACAAGCACTTTAACTGCAGGTTGAAAATGGCCAAATTGAGCCAGAAAATAGTTGAATTGGAAAAACTGCTTTACACTCAGCTAACATTTCAAAATGTAACTTAGATTTTTAAGTTT